CCTTTTTTTTTTTTTTTTTTGACTATCCAGGACTATCCAACTCTTTTTAATAATTAAAAAAAATCTTTAAAAAAATATATTTTTAGTAAGGCTTTACTGTTACTCTTGATTTGCACAGTTGTTTGGTGGTTGAAGGCCTCTTCCAAGTCACAATTGGTGAAAACATCAAATGCTTTTAAGTTGCGACCACTTTGATATTTCCACTCAGCTATACTGCTGGTCTTTATTGCCTCCCTTTTTCTGTTTTCAATCCTTTCCACTTTGTGGATAATGTCCCGAATACGACTCTCTACAGTGTAAACAAATCCTGTCAGGCCCTTCAATGTGTCGACAGAGTATTTTCCTTTCTTCTCAATTATGACACTTACTTTGAGCTCCTTTTCCATTTTGCTCAGTATTTTTAATTCGTCTTTGGTGAAATGAGCAATGGCTGGATCACATATTGTGTTATTTATTTGCTCCTTGTTAATCAAACTGTCGATCATGGCACTGGCCTTACTCAAATACTCTGGTGTCTCACTGCATAGTTGAAAGACAGCTGGCTTGATTTATTTAAACAAAATGTTTTTACCTTTTGTCCAGTTACGTTTGTTAGAAAAAAAAATACAGGTTGTTAAAAGTATAATATAGTCAGACACGAGAATAAAAGTTTTCATTTTTCAAAATTCTTTCTTTTTTTATTTACTGACCTTTAATCCTGCTAATCAAGCTTTTCTTTGACTTCATGGTACTTTTGAGCATGCTTTGATGAAAATCAGCCAACATACTTGACTGGAGTATAAGGAACTCCACATTTTTTACATGAACTGGTTCATTTTTGCTTGCAAATTCAACAACTGCACTGATCATTGCATCTGCAACATCAGCTGGATTATCTCCACCTTGACCTAAATGATCAATGAAAAAAAAATTAGGGTAAAAAAATATAAAATTAGTAAATAATATTATATGAAATATTAATTACTGCAAGATGTCAACAAGAACAACCATTTAGCTAGGTAACTACGGACATGCACACTGCTGGTTTTATCATAAAAAAGCATCACATGTGCCTAGAGCTGGGAAGGCAACAGAAGAAAATCTGCAATTCTCGCATAGCATCAGAACAGACAAAACTTTATGCTGAATTTCATCTGGACTAGTACATCCAACAATATGTATGATTTATTTACATGGAAGATTGCCAGATGAGGTCACAATCTCGGTTTCCTGATAATATGCTTCTCTAGCTGTGGAAAAGTCAAGTCTGCTTTATTGTCAATTCTTCCACATGTACAGCACATACACACAGAGAATTGAAATTGCGTTACTCTCAGACCCTTGGTGCATACAGATAACACTAACAGTAGAACATAAATACAGATATACAGATTAAGTATAAAAATACAACTATACAAATATACAAATAAGGTAAAATGTAAAAAAAAATATAAAAAAATATATATAAAGCAGCACACGGCACATGGCAGATAGAGTGCAAACCAGTGAAGTAAACAACAGTGCAGATATAATGATTTGTAGTGCAAAAAGAGCTTATTTAGACTGATTAAAGTGACTGTGTGTGTGTATTTGGGAGGGGGGAGTGGGAGAGTCC